CCCGCACGCGGGGCGGGGCCGCGGGTGCACGCGTGGGTGTGCGCGGGCACAGAGGGACCCCCGGGACCCCCCGGCCTCGGGCGCTGCCTTTGCGCTGCCTGTGGCCACGCGGGGGGGACGCGCTCCCTCCTGGCCCCCCAGAGCCAGGGCAGCACCCGAACCCTGCGGGTGCCACCGCCAACCCGGGGGACACCCAGCCCATCGCCACCCTGAACCCCGCCTCTGCAGGGGACGTCGTGGCTGTGTTGGGGACACCCACGCACGTGGGGATGCCCCGCACTGCACCGGGGGCTCAGCCCGGACCCGTGCACAGGAGAGGGGCTGCGTCTTCACCGACTCCTGCACCGCTCACCCTGCGGCCACCTCTATCTCCCGGGGCCGGCGCGAGCGCCCGGCTGGCCAAAGCTTTCCAAGGTCACCGCACGTCCTCCTCTGCCACGGCCACAGCTGCTCCTGCATCCCGCATCCCATGTCGGGGAAGGATGCTCGGGGCAGGGCCGGGGGCCCCGGGGAGCAGCGGGTGCCCCATTTCGGTGCCCCCCAGCCCCCATGTAGGACCCACACCAGCTCAGCGGGGGATGGTGGGGTCGGGGGTCCCCTCTCCCCCTGGGCCGCCGCCGCACCTGGCCGCGCTCCCCGCGCCGGGAACAAGCCCCGCTCTGTCCCCGCTCAAAGGGGGATTGAAGGGGCTGCACCTGCTTAATATTCCCCGCGCTTCCGCCCCTGGATGCGTTTCCAAGGGGACCGGCCGAGGGGCCGCCGGGATGGACGGGGGCACATGGCTGCGACAGCCGGTGGAAAGGGCCAGGAGGAGGCATCGGGGTCCCACACGTTGCCCGGGGTTGGGGTCCCTCCGCCGGGTCCCCACCGTTGCAGGCTGAGGGAAGATGGGTGGGATCCTGGGGATGGCGCTGGGGCCGCCACGGGGGGCAGGGAGATGGAGGCCGGGCAGGGCAGCAGCACCCATCCTGCACCCAAAGCCCTTCCCCAGCACTGGGGCAGGGTGCTGGTACGCTGCAGCGATGGCTCACGGTGTTTATGCTCAAGTGGCCAGTGCTGGTTTAGCCCACGGGAGCCTCCAGCACCGGCAGCGCCCCCCCGCCGAAGCTTGTGGGACTGGCAGGGAGCCCTGGAGACCACCTGGGCGCGGCAGCACCCGGAGCAGGGTGCCCAAGCCCAGGCCTGGTGGGGACTTGGGCATCTCCACGGATGGAGGCTCCACAAGCCCTCGGGACAGCCCGTGCCAGCGCCCCGGAGCACCAGCTCCTCCTCTCCGGTGGGGTTGGGTGGCTCTGGCCCACGCCACCTGGCAGCCCTGGAGCATCGCCCCGCTCCTGGCCCAGCCACCAAGGGGACACCCTGTGCCCACGCCTGGACCACCGGCAGCGGTCAACCAGCCGCTCACTGGCGTCCCCTCGGGGTATCGACACCCCAAGAGCTCCAGCTGCAGCCAGCGTCACCCCAGGGTGCCCAGCACCATGGGGAGGAGGGACCTTGCCCTGGATCCCACGGGATCCACAGGGGACAAGGGGGTGTCGGCACCCTGCACCCCAGCCGGAGGCCGGCTGCTGCCCCAGTCCCGGGGGACGGTGCCCATCGCCTTTCCCTGCAGCCCACCTTCGCACGGGAAGAGCCCCCACCTCCCCGCGTGCCTTCGCCCCCCCGGCGCAGGCTCCGCACCCATCCCTGCACCGGCGGCTCTGGGTCACCCTGGGCAGGCAGGGGGGACCGAGGGTCTCGCCGCCCTCCACGGCGGCCGATGCCCTGCACCAGGCAGGGACACCCAGCTGGGGGATGAATTTGGGAGCCTCCTCGCTCCCGGGAGGTGCGGCCGAGCCTTGGTGCAGCGGGCTCCATCACCGCGCTTAAATTTCAGACCAGACAAGGCAGCAGAGCCCAACACAGGGGCCGGAGCCGTCTCCCAAGTGCTTTCACCACCTTTCTTACAAACCTGCCTAGGTTTGTCTTCGTTAGAGGCAGAAGCAGCAGCAGATGAGGGGCAGCAGGACAGACAGACAGACAGACAGACAGACAGACACGGCTCTTCAGGCTGGCAGAAGACACCGAGCAGCAGCTCCCTCCTCTCAGGCAGAACCGGCTGCTGCCGCCGGGTGCGTGTTTTCCTGGGGGGGCTGCTCAGAATATTTCAGGTGAATCAAAAGACTGAAATGCAGCCGTGTTTGGGCGTTCCTGGAAGAAATCAGCGTGAGCTCTGTCTGTCTGTCTGTCCTGTGAGCGGGTCATGCAGAGCTGGGGAGGGATCTCGCCCCAGATCTCTTCTCTGCCCAGTTCAGCGCCGGAGGCTGAGCTTGCCCATGGGTCTTGCCCTACCTTGGGGTCCCCAAAAGCCCGCGGAGGGGCCTTGCTCACCCCCCCGCCCTGCGCTGCAGGCAGGTCTGCTCTGACACCCGCCCGGGCACGGGGGACAGGTTGGATTAGGGTCAGGGACCCCACGGGGACAGACAGACAGACAGACAGACAGAGGCTGGAGCATGGTGCAAACCGGGCTCCTGGTCCTCACCTTCCCGGGCTCGTTCCCAGCGTCTGGGCCCAGGGGAATCGCGTCCTCCCCGTGCTCGTAGGACGATGTCCCCATCGACCGGGATCCACGCCGGGCTGCATCCAGGCCCTGGGGATGACGGGGGGTGGATGGAGGGGGCAGGACGGGCTGGGGCCAGCTCTTCTCCACCAGCTTTCGTTTCTCCCATCATCGCTCCCTGTGCTGCCTGCTTGACACCCTCCCCTCCTCGCCCAGGTACCAGAGATGTGCAAACCACCTCCTTTTCCAATTTTAATTAACAAAAGTATTGGAAAGGTGCAAAGAAATCACGACTCCAGAAAGTGCTGAATTGAACAGACAGGGTTGAGGTCGGCGTTTTCTGCCTTGGACACGTGAGCTCTTCCCTCTCAAAGCATCCTCGATGGCGAGCCTGAGCCCAGGGCCAAGCTCAGCTCAGCCAGGCAGGGTTTTAGCGGGACAGCGTTGCCCTTGATTGGGGCTGGCACGAGTCGGGGCACGGCTCTGAGGTGACGAGCCCCGATGCAACACCGATAGCCGGAGGAAGCCGCCGCCTGCTTCAGCTGTGAGACTTAAAACCGACCTTCAGCCTCCTCCGTGCTCAGCCAGGCCCCGCTCCCTTCAGCCTTAAATACCCGACAAAACCACCCAAACCGTTTCTGCAGGGGATAAATTCACCCACCACAGATCAGTCACACACCAAACCGCTCCCGACACAGAGCTGATGTGAAAATTGCCGTAATTCCAAGTCCTCAAAACAGGAGCTGGGTTTAGGATTGTACGAGCAGCTCGGGGAAGGACGCGGGCAGCACCAGGCGAAGACAAAAGGATCTGCAACCTCTGCCTGCCCTGCGGCGCTGGAGCCCTCCAGGCCGTCTCCTACCTCTGGCCGGAGGGATAAGCAAGCTGGTATCTTCCAAAAAAACCCCTCCCCGGCCTGCTGGTGCGTTTGGCTCGAGGATTCGGGGTCGCAGAGGCAGAGCTGGGCTCGGGGAGGAGGCAGAGCCCCATCGTCCCAGCGGCCCCCGGCTCGCGCTCTCCCTGCAACCGCTGTTTCCGAGCCGCGCTCCTCTGCGGCTGCAGATGGAAAAGGTGGGAGAGGTTTAATACTCACACGTTACAGCCCTGAGCTGCAAAGACCAAGAAAAGAACCTGAGTAAAACGGGCCCGAGCTGCTGTGGGGGAAGAGCCAGCAGGGAGCTGCGTCCCGAGGACCGAGCGTCGCGGCCCGAGGACCGAGCACAGCACCCGCCACTTGTGTTCAACACCTTTTGTGTTTGCGAACGTTCACAGGGCCTGCAAGGAGCGACACACAAAACTGCCACGGACTGGGGTAAGTCACCTGCGAGCAATAGCACCTTCCCCACCTCTCCTTCCTAGCTTAAGAAACCGGTTTAATACTTGCGATTTTGCAAAGAGGGCACTGAACGCACTTCAGAAATGCTTTTTATCTTCAAGGTTTTGCTTTTTTTACTGCTGGAAAGCAGGATCAATCAAAGCAGCAATTTCACAGTTAAGGACAAGGAGTGAAGACACCACTTCGCTCCATGGAAAATGAAGGGAAAAAAGCTTGGGAAGGCAGAAGAGCTGAATCCCGGTGGCGCACGGAGTGGGGAACGCACACCTTATCCCTCTCACGACAGGTCACGGGTGCTTAATGGCGTCCAAGACTCAGGCTCTGTTTCATCTGGAAGAGGGAAGCCAAAATTACAGCAGCAGGGAGAACCAGAGATGAGCGCTGCGCTGGGCACCCTCCGAGGGCAGAGCCCGTCTCCATTCCAATGGGTCTTCTACAACGTCCCGGTCCCCAGCGCCGGGAGGGAACACGGGATTTCCATGACGTGGATCCTGCAGGGAGCTGGTGGCTCTTCCAACAGCATGTGGACAAGCGCTCGGCGAGATGTCGTCCCCCAGGGTCCCCAGTGGGACCGGGCTGAACCTGTGTTGTGGAAGCGGCTGGTTGCCCACCAGACCACCGGAGAACCGCTCCTGCCCACGGCTCCCGCTCAGCTCAGCAACGCGGACCCGGCTGGGCAACCTCGGCGCTGAGGCACGGCGACCACCAGCATCACCGAACATCCCAGCACTAGAAACCTGCTCACCGGCAGCGTGCTAGAAGGGCTGCTGGTTTTGATGGACACCAAGTTGCTTTTATCACAGGTAACGTGGAAGGAGAGAAAACGAGGGATTTGGGGAAAAAAACTTGCGGATCGTCACCGCTAGGTTTCTCGTCGCAGCCTCCACACGACAGCCCGCTGCCCGGGAGCTCCCAGGGCTGCTGAAAAGGGTCCCTGAACCGTGACCCCCGGCAGCAGCAGGAGGCTCCAATGAAAGGGGAAATTCCCATGCGGGCGACGCACGCGGCCGGGCGGGAGACGGCGCGGACAAAGAGCGACACTGTTCCTAGAGAGCCGGGCAAGGGACCGGCTCCGGCACAGCCAAGCCGTTGGCAGGTCACCCAGATCCGCGCTGCCACCGATTGTCTGGGGCACATTGTTTCCTACCGGGATTTGGGGGGATTAGTCCTCGGGATGGGCGCTGGCGATAGCCATCGGGGTTAGCCCCAGCTGCATTGTACTGGGTGCTACGAAACCCGCAGCGTTGGAAAATGAGTTTCCAGCCTCGCCAAATCCTTCCTTTTGCAATCTCCCCGTGAGAAAGGCACAGGAATCGAAATAACGGTGTCAGAGGACAACGCGCGCTCGCACACTCAGACACCCCGAACTCTTTAGGTGTCCCAACGTGTATTTTTGGCTTTAAGTCAGCCAGGAAAACAAAACAAAAGAAAACCCCCAGCTTTTGAGGAACCACACGGTGGAGCTGGCATCGCCAGACAGGACGCATCCGCAACGGGGAGTTTTAGGATGTTATGAGGAAGGGGAGGCAAGCGCAGGCAGGGGGTGTGACCGCGCGGTCCCGCTCCCCGGCCGCTGCCCCACCGCTCCTCCTGCCAACAAGGCGACGGCGCTGAGAAACAAAACCCGCGCACCAAACCTCCCATCTGGAGTACGAAATCATTCAGATAAAGACGCGACCCCCCAGCGGCACGTGTTGTCAGGAGGGACAGCAGATTTTTTGGACGAGGCCCCGAGCAGGTAAGCCTCCCTCTACCCCAGCGGCACCTCGGTCTCAAATGACCCTCCTGCAGCTTTGGAGCGGCCACCGAGCCAGTTTAGAAGAGCTACAGTTCAGAGCCCTGTCCTAAACTTGCCTTCAAGCTTACTGCATTCTTACAAAGCTGAGACCAGGACCGATTTGCTCCCTAGCCCCAGCCCACGCCATGCCCCCGCAGCCCGAGCGGCCCCGGGCCTCTGGTGCTTGCTCCCACCCCGCCGTAGGGCCGCTGCGGGGTATCTGAACATCGATGCCTCCAAAGCGCGGTCCCAACCTGCACTTACACCTCCGCTCAACTTCACTTTTAACTACTGTAAGCCCAGTCTCAGCCATATTCTGTGACTGCAAAGCTTTAACGGCCCATAAATAGAAAAAACTGTTGAAGAACTGACACCGTCATCTGCCATATTCTTTGCGTTCCTTAGGGAAAAGGGCTTCGAGATGAGAGGAGGCAAAACGACAATCGCTCACCGTGCCGCAGGGTGAGAAGGGTGCGATCGCGCGGGATGAGCCTCACTGAAGACGCCTGGAGCGCGAAGGCAGAGAGCTCCCCCCTTCCCTGCCTGGCCCCAAGCAGGGAGCCCAGCGAGGGAGCACCCCCAGCTCCCGGCCCCGGGGACCTCCCGGGCCAGCCGAGGAGGAATCCTCCCTGGGGATGGGGCTTTTGTGGGGTGTCCCGGACCTGGGGGTACATCACCCCCCCCGTGCTTTCCCTTCTTCGGCTTCAGGGAATTGGGGACGGTGGGCATCGCACATCTAGGACGCCCAGGGAGAAGTGCCATTAATACGCTTCTTCGGAGGGAAAAGCTCTTACTGGTGAAGTAGCAGGAGCATTTAGAATATAATCCAGATTGAATTCCTGGTTTCAGTTTAATCAAAAAGGAAAACTGTCCTGGCAGCCTCTGGAGCCCTGCAGGAGAGGACAAAAGATCTGAACAGGCATCTGAATTAAACAATTAACAGCGAAGCTGGTTCGGGAATAGGGGAACAGCGGGACCCTGCTAGGCCAGCGCACCCAGGCCTCCTCTATTAAAATCTGCCACTTCACAGCACTTTTTTCAAGTGTGTGATTCGACTGGGAACGCGAGCCCGAGCGACTGTCCAAGTTAGCACAGCGAGAAAGCAGGAATCAAACAGAAATAATCCTACCGGGCCTCGAATGCTGTTTGACTTCGTCCGCATTCATTAAACCTGAAATACCGTTTTGCAAAGCGGCGGATCACCGAGCGCGCTGCGAGGGCCCTTCGCTTACCTGCTTTGGTGCTTTGGAGCCAGGTAAAAAGCTCCGGCTTTGTACTTACTCCATCGTAGTCAAGACGCAGCCCCAAAAATACGTTTGTGTCATATTAACAGTTCTCAGCTCATTCACAACACAGAGGGAAAGGAGACTCCAGACAAAGTGGCACAAGCTTTGTACAAAAACCACTTTTTTTTTTTTTTATTTCACAAAATTGGGTGGCTGTGTTGCAGGAATAAAACTGGCCCTATACATACATAGGATCAGATGAAAAAGTCAGCACACGTATTATTTATACAGAAACACAGCAGTGTCAAGAATTCAGGTACTCTGTAGGATCATCACTAGTACAGTAAAAAATAGTCTCCATCTGGATCATTTATATTTGAAGTTGATCACGCTAAAAACAACCTGAGGTTATTCTAAACTGGACTACAGTCTGAACCAGAAAAATCCCATGCTCACCCCAAAGACCCTGGAGGGAAAGGTAACGCTGGGGATGAATTTCCTTTGTGGGAGGTGGAAGGCAGGCAGGCCCTGACCGTTCTCTGCTAGGCACTGTGGATTCTCGGAGTTTGACGGTGGAAAGCATCGTTCCTACGCGCTGGAGGTAACGAGGCTGCAGACGATCGCCTGCGCGCGCAGCGGATGCGCAGGCAGCCCAGAAATGGTTACTCCACACTCCTGCACTCTCGGGACCTGGGAAGTTCAGCCGTTAACATCGCTG